ACCATAGCGTAGCTTGCTTGCCGCAGCTACCACCTCCTCTCCTCCACACGCAAGCAGAGCTCATCCACCAACGAGGTTGACGACACGGCGGCCTGGCGGCGTTGCGAGTTTCCGCATCCTAGACCCTTTGGCTTCCCTCCCGTAGTAGAGACGTTTCCATTTGCTGCGCTTTGCGACTTAGATCGGCCACTACCTGTGTCTCGTCTGCGTACTGCTGTTGCTGCTGCTGCTGCTGCTGCAAGTGCTCCTCACTTGCTTTCCCCACCGAGCACAAGCAGCAAGGAAGGTGGTGCCACATACCTTGGGGAGCAGTCATTGTCGACGGAGCCTCTGTGGTGTTGCCCTCTGTGCTTCTTCTGACTGGATCCGGGAGTGTCTACGCAATTGCCACGACAAAACTACGCTTCGAGAGAAGACAAACACGCGCTGGCGGAACGCCAGACACGAGGACTACCTTGGAGGTGATCCACAGACTTACTTCTCTCGATCCCCACCCATCGTCGCCTCTCGCTGCTCCACCCCATGTTCTTGAAACCCTGGCCCCGTCTACTCAACTAGCTCCCTGAGACGGTGCCCTTGGCAGGGTCGATTACCTCAATTGGGTCGTCCCAAAAGGCAAAACGTTTGTCTGGGTCAAATACCAACGGCTGACCGTCTTTTGCCCGCCCGTCCCTGCGCGCGAATTGGGCTTTTGACTCGCTCGTGCCTACCTAGACGTACAACCACACAACCTACCTGACCCGGACCTTGAACCTCCTCTCCCATCGATAATTCTCTCAGCCTTTGACCTCCCCCCACTCCCTTTCCCCCGGTACTGTTCCAGGTGAGAGGAAAAAGCAGAGGCGATTAACTTTTGCCGTCGGTGCCCAACTGCTGATCCCCCGAGTCCCTGTGCCTGGCCTTGGGCTCTTCCCGACGCAAAGCCGCCGAGCTTGGAGAAACATACCGAGGGCTGATTCAAGCTCCCTCACCTGGCCCTTTCCGCCAATACCATTGCCAGAGGGTCGGATGTCATCATAGACCAATAGTACTACCAGCTGCTCTAGGTTTTGCTCGGACTGAACCCTGAGACCAGCTACGTACTGCCGCGCCAGACAACGTACCTGGCCTGGCCCGTGAAAGGTTGGAGTCTTCCCAGAGCGCGACTCCATGGCCTCCACAACCGCGCTGGTTGCCTGACCGTCTCTGCTGGCTGACCTCTCGCCTTAACTCTTGTATTCATGTACATATATACTCGCAAGCATGGACCAAGGGCATGACAACAAGCGACCTCGTCTCTCGACTGGTCCATGGTCAGCGGGTCCCTCCCATCATGGCCATGGTCCGCTCCCCCATCCTGGGACACCTTTAACAGCCGCTCACCCTCCCGCGCCGCCGCCTCCTTCACAATATCAACCTTTCCACCGTCCTCCAGAACCTCCACCGCCTCCGCCGCCTCAACACTTCGATGACCGTCGTCAACATGAATCTGGACCATACCCTCCAATGCAGGACCGACCTCCACCTTCGCCGGCGCATCCTCACTACCCCGAGTATCCTCCTCGGGATCCCATCGTGAAGAGAGATCCAGGCGAAGACGCCACGCTTCCGCAACTGCGCCGGCCCAACTCGACCGGCAACGCACCAGAACTACCGATACCACCTGGAACACCACATGGTCCGCTTCCCCAGGCGCACATGGAGGACCGAAGACACATGAGTTTCGACAACGGACCACCGCCGCCGATGTATCGGCACCCAAGCTATCCTCCACCGACGCCCGTACAACAGCACCCTGTCCCATACGAGCAGTCAATGTACCATCAACCCTCAGGGGGACCCGATGGCTTATATCCCATTGCATATGCCACTACAGGCAAGCGGAAGGCGCAGCGAGCTTCTCAGGTATGTGTGCGAGTAAGACTATCACAAAGTCGTTGTTACTAATACTACCGAATGTAGGCTTGTGATAGCTGTAGACAGCTTAAAGCAAAGTGTGATGAGTTGAAACCCTGTAAGAGTTGTAAAGAGAAAGGGTTTGAATGCAAATATCGAGATCCTGTTCCGAAACAGTAGGCGTCCATCGTCAAATAATTTCAATCCGTATAAGCTAACGCACAACTAGACAAGATAAAGCAACAGCAGATATCCTTGATGGTATCACAGGTCTGCGCGAAATGATGTCGGATGGGCTACGAGGGGTTGAACAGCGCTTAGGACAGCGCATAGCCATTGTTGAAAATGCCCTTAGGTCGATAAACCCATCGCTGGCTATTGACGCCCCACCTCCGAGCAACGAGATTCATCGTTCATATGCGGAGGTTGTGTCGCCAGTGCCAGCAGAAGGCGAAGACGCCTTCTCCTCATCACCGGGAGATGTTACAACTGTTGCCGAGCCACCAATTGATCCAAATGAAGCGGCGCAGACGATGCGTCAGATGGCGATGGATGAGGACGTTGACATGGCGCCTGGACAGCCAGTCCCTCCTGGAAAACCAGCTATGCCTGCAGATCACACTACCCCTGCCGGGTTTCTCTTGACGTGGCCGTCGATAAGGGAAATGCTTGATCCTCACCTACAGGCAGAAAACATCAAATACGTTGAAGATTACCCTCGGCGTCTGGAACTGAAGCGGGGTCAACTTTCTCTCTTTGGCCGCGGTGAGGGCCACGATATGCGCCCCATAGACAGGGATGGCAACACCGATCAAGGTGATATCCCAGACGACGTCTCTGTTTCTGACTATCCTTCGTCACCTTCACAAACGACTGATTGGGGTTCCATTGGGGGGATGACTCCGCCAGGCATGCCGACCGAGTTTAAGCACACGGTGTTGAAGTCAGATGGCAATCTAGACTTCGATGAGAGCAAGGTCTGGAAATATTTGACGAATTACGAACAACACATCCAGAATATGCATCCAATTTTCATCCCGAAGGAGCTACGCGCGATGGTACGAACTTTCCTCGACAACATTGCTGCCAGCAGACCCGCCAAGCCTGCACCTGTTGCAAAGTTCGCCCAAGCCGAGCCTTCTCCACCGATCGATAATGAGAGGAAAAGAAAACGATCGCCGGGTCCAGAGGGCTCTGGTCAGCTTCCTCCGCATGGAAGGAGAGGCAAGCCTCAGCGATCCATTCAGACAGCGCTCGTGCTTCTGGTCTTGGCTTTGGGAAAGATCTGCGGAGTTAGGGATAGACGGCTTCCTGACGTTGGAGAGCCTGATATTCCAGCAACACAGGGATCACCTGTGGTTCGGAACGGTCATGCATCGTCTCCAAATCAGACTTCACCGCCCTCTGGATCACTCTCTCACTCCTCAGGACTACCATCTCCTAAAGAGCACGATCGGATGCTTCCTAGTCGACGCTCGTCCTTTCAAGGCAATGCCTCAAGCTCTTATGCTCCAACAAGCGCTGTCTCGCCTTCACCAACAAGAAAGAATTACGAATCCATACCCGGCCTTGAGTATTTCGCATTCGCGACGGATATCCTTGGAAACCAGTTCGGTGGCACAACATTAATGCATGTTCATGCTCACATTCTTGCTTGCTTGTACTATGGGCAGCTAGGCCGGGTCGTGGCAAGCTACCAGCATATTAAGCATGCAAGCAGCACACTCATGATCAATATTTCTGGGTAAGGGACTGCTCTCTTGAAGTGACAAAACGACATGCTAAACACCTGCCAGATCTCTTGATCGACTTCAGAAGAGCCTACCTCGCTTTGCAGTCGGCAAGCGAGACAATAAGATCGCATTTGCATTTTGGTCCTGTCTACAGCTGGAAAGGTAAGTTGCCCCGAACACCCGCATGTATATCATTGACTAACCGATTCAGTGACATTCTGGCCGAGCTCAACCTCCATCCCTCAGGTCTCCTCGCATACGAAGAAGCGATCCCTTGGCCTGATGCAAATTGGGTAATCAAGGAGTTCGAACTCTCGGACGCCGTTGTTCACAGCTACCTTGCGCAGTTGTATCTGCGGAAGAGGTTGAACGATATTCACGGACTGCTTTATGATCCGGCCAAGCAGAAAGCAATGATGCTTGATGTCCCTGAAGACAAATCAATAATCGATCACATAGAACAAGTTTTGCTTCATGAGACATCCTGGCTGCATCCAAGTTATCAATTCTCTCCAGAGGATCCCCCTTCAAAAGACATACTCGCCGCACGCATTCGCGCTAAGTTCTGGGGCGCCCAAAACATCACTTACCGGCCATTTATCCGCCAAATCCTCTACTTTTCATACAATCGAAGGAACATCATGCAGAGCCCACAGGCTATTACGGGCGATATCTCGAATGATGGCTCTGTGCCTCACATCAATCCTACAGCTCGTACCGTTACCGATATACATCCGAGCATCCTCGAGTATGCTAAGAATGGCATTAACGCTCTAATAAAGAGCACTGAAGCTTTCCACAATCTCGAGGACAAGCGCTTCATCATCACCAATGTTTTTGGCACGGCACATGCGTAAGATTCCGCTGGCACTACTATGTTTTGAACAACTTGGGGACTGACTTGAATATTAGGCAATGGGGCAATCTCATAACATTAGCTGCCGTTTTTCGCGATCCGATTCTTACACGTTACATTGACGAGGGAAAGCTGAGGGAGCTTTTCAGAAGGACCATTGACTTCCTTGGTGTGGTAGCATCGTCGACAAGTAGTATAGCTGTCGACAGGCGGATCCTCAAGAACCTGGAAAGAGATCTCTGGAGAGACATGGATCCCAGGACAACTTCGAGTTTCTCCAGCCAAACCAGCGGTGGCCCTCCCATGACTCCTGCTGGCCCAATGCTGCCTGGTATGCAAGCCCCGAGCACACCGGCCGACGGCTTCGCGCACCCTGGTCATATGCAGATGTGAGGATCATCGAGACTACTAGCAATCGAAGGTGGCATGGCTCCGGTTTTGGTAATAATGATCAAGTGTTGGAAAGACTCGTGCCGTCTCTTTCTGCTTTGAAAACCTCAGACTTGCACCACACAACATACTGGCATCAGGCGTTTATTTCGACATTCTTCTTCAATTTCGGCGTTTATTGGTTTAGTGAGCAACATGGGAGCATGGCAGTGCGGCATTTTCATGGGGTACGAGCAAGCATGTAAGGTGGTGGCGGATGGACATCGCTTGCATTTTGTTCGTCTGGTGTTTTGCTTGTTTCAGGGACGCTAAATTCAAGTGCGACTATCGTCAACATCATCTACAACAAGAAGATACCTCAGCATTACGGTTGGGTCGCCCCAACCAAGCATCCCTACCGGACAAAGACTTCTAGGTCTAATATTCTCCTGCGGCCATTCTGGCTCGTGAGCTACCACCGCCTGCCAACTCCTTGAAGCTCTGGTACAGCGGCGTCTCTCGTTCAAGATACCCTCAAACCACATCGATACCAAAACAAATTTATCCACATGCAAGAACACTTTTAACAGCGTCCCAATGACGACAACCCAGAGTTGCATAGAGACGAATCAACGCGGGTGCGAACCCAGCCTTAACTCTATTTTCCTTTTGTCATAATACTACCAAACAACTATTATCTACACCACCACCATTGGTGTCAGTCGGGCGAGTCGGAGGAACTGGATCAACGGTCTAACCATGAGGAGCATAGCATGCTTATGCTGCATTCAGCCCAAATCACACCCTCTGCGTTTTATCTTTTTGTTTCCCCCTTTTTTTAAGTACAACCCTTTAGGGAGGGAGTGGAGGAGATACCCGTTTCCTTGGGTCTTCCGTCGAGGAGGACCGCGACAACA